GTAGCACTTGGCTTTAGTATTTTAAGAAATACTCAGTAAGCGACCCCCTATTGGGGTTAAAATACAAAGACACGTAGTTACTTGCATGGGACCTATCATAATAGTTTATTTTTCTACAGTGGCTTTCCTAACGAACAACTTGGATGTGTAATTAATTTCTCTACACACGGCTCACATGTGTGAGTATGGACCAACTAGTTGGTTCGCACACCTCCTGGGCTCATTTATAGTCAGACGAGCATTCTTTAGGAGTTGTTGATGCTAGACACTCGTTAGGAGTGGCGACCATCTCGACTACACGATGTCAAACATAATGATCATTCCTCTACCTATTAGCATACACATCCGGACTACTGTAAAGGAATAAGGTTACCTCCGATGCATGAGCACACAATAAGCATGAGGTCCCAATATCTTTCCATTTTAATTATCCTTAATACAACTCCACTAACGTCTTCTTCCTATCATAACATTTTTCATACCATATCTCATAACTTTTATCATATCATTTATCATTATTCATGCATATGCCGGGGTAGTATTTCATGCTAGTTGTCATTTCTCATGTTAATCATATCATTCATCAAACATATAACTCATATTATATTGTTTTTATGCTTACAGACACAACAATCCATATCGTGCACATATCATATCATATATCATAACAGTCACATAATATATCTCAAGAACGTTTTCAACAAATCAGATCATAGCATATCACATCATAAAGCATATCAATTTATCAAATACAGCATAACAATCACATTGCATAGTATTTTCGTACTATTTCATAATGTCATACATATATGATCTATGACACGTGCAAAACCACGAGCACGTGTCATCATATACCATACTCTTTGTGATTTTTCCTCCATTTCTCTCCCCTCGATTCTCATGGCATTTTTTATGGTGTTTGGATCGTTGCGGCTTGATTTAATGTACTTTCTAACCTCACGATGTCACTAGTCTGTCTAAGTGTATAAGGATGTGGATTTGTTTTGTTTTCTCAACTTCCCCAACTCTCTTCCCTAAACTCTTTCTATCGCTTGTTTGTCCTATTTTTCCATGTAGGTAGGCTTTGGGGTATTTCGTAGGAGTTGGGGTCATGTGGGTGTCGGGTTTCTCTAGTTGGACTAGTCGTGGTTGTTTTTTCGGGTTCCTCTCTCTCTCTCTCTTCAATTTTCTCTATGTTTTCCCTTTACATTTGTCTAGAGCATCTGGCATGAGATGGGGAGAAGTATGGACTTATTTTTGGTGAGCCGTAAGGATCGAGAAGGCATGTCCAAGAATTTTGGAATCTCATTTGAATTTTTGCAGGTTTTTTGGCGACCGAGCCAAATGTGTATATATATATAAATATAAATATATATTTATTTTTGTATCGTTANAAAAATAAAATAGAGTAGCACTTGGCTTTAGTATTTTAAGAAATACTCAGTAAGCGACCCCCTATTGGGGTTAAAATACAAAGACACGTAGTTACTTGCATGGGACCTATCATAATAGTTTATTTTTCTACAATGGCTTTCCTAACGAACAACTTGGATGTGTAATTAATTTCTCTACACACGGCTCACATGTGTGAGTATGGACCAACTAGTCGGTTCGCACACCTCCTGGGCTCATTTATAGTCAGACGAGCATTCTTTAGGAGTTGTTGATGCTAGACACTCGTTAGGAGTGGCGACCATCTCGACTACACGATGTCAAACATAATGATCATTCCTCTACCTATTAGCATACACATCCGGACTACTGTAAAGGAATAAGGTTACCTCCGATGCATGAGCACACAATAAGCATGAGGTCCCAATATCTTTCCATTTTAATTATCCTTAATACAACTCCACTAACGTCTTCTTCCTATCATAACATTTTTCATACCATATCTCATAACTTTTATCATATCATTTATCATTATTCATGCATATGCCGGGGTTGTATTTCATGCTAGTTGTCATTTCTCATGTTAATCATATCATTCATCAAACATATAACTCATATTATATCGTTTTTATGCTTACAGACACAACAATCCATATCGTGCACATATCATATCATATATCATAACAGTCACATAATATATCTCAAGAACGTTTTCAACAAATCAGATCATAGCATATCACATCATAAAGCATATGAATTTATCAAATACAGCATAACAATCACATTGCATAGTATTTTCGTACTATTTCATAATGTCATACATATATGATCTATGACACGTGCAAAACCACGAGCACGTGTCATCATATACCATACTCTTTGTGATTTTTCCTCCATTTCTCTCCCCTCGATTCTCATGGCATTTTTTATGGTGTTTGGATCGTTGCGGCTTGATTTAATGTACTTTCTAACCTCACGATGTCACTAGTCTGTCTAAGTGTATAAGGATGTGGATTTTTTTGTTTTCTCAACTTCCCCAACTCTCGGATCCTGCGGATGAATTTACGATGTGTTTCTCTCTCTTCCCTAAACTCTTTCTATCGCTTGTTTGTCCTATTTTTCCATGTAGGTAGGCTTTGGGGTATTTCGTAGGAGTTGGGGTCATGTGGGTGTCGGGTTTCTCTAGTTGGACTAGTCGTGGTTGTTTTTTCGGGTTCCTCTCTCTCTCTCTCTTCAATTTTCTCTATGTTTTCCCTTTACATTTGTCTAGAGCATCTGGCATGAGATGGGGAGAAGTATGGACTTATTTTTGGTGAGTCGTAAGGATCGAGAAGGCATGTCCAAGAATTTTGGAATCTCATTTGAATTTTTGCAGGTTTTTTGGTGACCGAGCCAAATGTGTATATATATATAAATATAAATATATATTTATTTTTGTATCGTTACAAGATCGGTCAACAACACTAGGGTCTCACCCTTTAATCATCTCTAACAAATCTTCTGTGTTCAAACTACTATAGGCGTTCAATCCTAGGTTACCATCTAGGCAAACAGATATGCTCTCTCTAGTCTTAATTTGTTTCATCTACTTACTCTTTGTGGGGAGAATCACACATTTAATAATCTTACTTATCCATGGGGAGATAACATCAATGAAGGGCATGAGTTAATTGAGAGGTTTTCAACATTTATGTTCTCAAGTGATTTTATGCATAATTTTCTTCTTAAAATAGAGGGAGAGAATGAGTGTTTGAGGTGCACTATTGAAATTGACTCTACTAGTTAATCCTAAAATAATTTAATCTAATTCAACTAGTTAAGCCTAAAATAATTTAATTTTACTCCTAAGAATTTAAACCATTTAAGCCTAATTTTCTTAAAGTAATTTAAATTTACTTCAACTATTAAGCCTAATTTTACATAAAATAATTTAAATTTACTTATAATAATTTAAACGGACTAAGTTTTACTATGCATAAATACTTCACATTTAACTCTAAAAATTTAAATTAGCTAAAAGGTAGTTACACTAACTTTAAATACTTCTGAAAAATTGAAATTAGGAGAAAATGGTTCGAACGTATCAGACAGAAGCCAAATTAGGCTAAATGCTAGCCTTGAGCCGTCAGAAAGTGTAATATCCGACTAGCTTGACCGTTCATGTGGGATGCTAAAATGGAGTGAGGAATCTCCCTTTTGTAGTGGAGGCCAACACCCACTTATCAACATTTTTTAGACTACCCATTTTTTTTTAATTCTAATATTTCGGGAGATTAAACCAGCCCAATAAGTTTAGAGTTCTTATAAAGATTTTAAATCTAAGCTATTTTTACTTGAACTTGTTTTAAAAAATTTCACGACCCGTATGTATCAATCACAAGTTAAAAGTATCATCATTACTCACCTCAACTATTTTCTTAATTTGAATATAAAGGACATGTGCTCAATAGAATTTTCACCTCGGGATGAAATGCCTATTTTCAAAATTTTAATATCGTTTATAAATTAAAGTTAAAAAAACAATGATTTTTTTTTTTATGGACAGTGGGCTAATGTTTCTTAACAAGAGAATAATAAAATTGAAAATAGTTACTCAACACACATAGGTACTATAATTTTAACAAGAAACAAAAAAAAAAAAATCCTACAACTTTCATATATCTTATTAAAAGTTTCACTTGATATATTGTAGCTTCACGGTCTTTTTTGATGTCATGATCCGATTTTCGAGGCTTCGAATGTTGGACCCAACACAAAAGACGAAGACAAAAGGAAAGAAAATAAAAAAAAGTAAATAAAATAAAAGATAAATTTTGATAAAACTTTAATTGAAATAAATACAAGCTAACAGTAAAATTAAATAAAAAGTTATATCCAAAAAGAAACATGGAAAAATTGGTTGGGGATATAGTTTACCGTAGAAAAACAAAAATGAAAGATTCAAATACAAAAATGAACTGATGCTCTAGAACGACCCCCTCCGTGACTGTACATCTCTTAGATGCTCCTCCACCTCAACCAACAACTTGTGAGACCTAAACCTAAAAAAGGAAAAGGGGTGAATATACAAATATACTATGAAACCAACCTATTTGTAGGCTCTTATCTTAGCCTTGATCTAGAAAAAGACCATAAACTTAACACTGGGCTCGAGGGGTATTATTCTTGTTGTGTTTATCTTAGATAGCTAGCTTAACCTACGCAGCGGTAATCGATATATGAAGTTAACGTGCAACCTTAACGATTTCTCTCTATCAAGTTGGCACAATGAGTGCTAGCCTACTTATCATCCAAAGGTGGTTGTTGGTAAACCCATCCAACAACTACAAACTCGTACTTAAAAATAATTAATTTTCTCCTATCCTATATACGATCTTGGAGTTTTTTTTTTTTTTTTTTTTTGATGTCCCACATTTGTTAGGGAGGAGAACAAACCACCATTTATAAGGGGTGGAAACCTTCCCATAGCAAACGCGTTTTAATGCCTTGAGGGGAAGCTCGAAAGAGAAATCCCAAAGAGGACAATATCTGCTAGCGGTGGATCTGAGCTGTTACGATTGGTATCAAGGCAGTCGTGGTTTTTATTCTATAGACATTTTTTTCCTAGAATAGAGAGTCGTACACCTCTGTGACTCAGCTCGACGACATGCCTCGCCGCGACCAGGTATGTAGTCTAACCTTGTTTAATAGGTTATAATATGATGTAACGCCACTAAGAACTTGATTTATGTTTTGGGTTAACGCCTTAGGGTGTTAAAAGGGAATATTCCCTCTATATGTTAATGCTAGATTCGAGTTATTGTGAGGAGGTCAAGAGGGGTCATGTTTTAGTTTACTGGCCTTAGGAAGACAAAAAGGTGACTCCGCAGAGTACGTAACGTCCAACCTATAGAAATGTATATGAGACTTTTTAAGGTCCAGTACGAGATGATATACCTATGACCATGCATCCGTGGAGACCACGTAGTAGGCCTAGACAGTATAGAGTTGTCTTGGTGCAAACCACATAGTAGACCCAAACAATATTCATTCTTAGAAGTAAGGGCGGCCACGGTAGAAATTAAGCACCTCTCAAGCAAACCATTTTCAGGAGTGAGTTTGGTTAAGTTGGTAGTCAAGAAATAAAATTCACCAACAGAGAGAGTGAAGCTATGGAGGCC